TTGGCATGGTGTTCAATTTATTCCATTACACTAATTCAGCTTGGCTTTAGCACAATATATTTGCTTCTCTTGTGCTGAGTTTCGTACTCAATCTTGCCTTTCTGCTTTTCTGAATTCTGTCAATTATCAAATACTAGTCGTAAAAGGCAATTTCCAAAAATTTTGATGTATTATTAGCCAGAGAAGGTAACTTAAATTACTAAACAAATTGAAAAAAAAGTACATGTAACTTGTCGCTAAACTAGCGTGTTTTATAAGTAGAGTTCACATAATTTTTTTTTTTTTCATCTTAAGTAGAGTTCTGTTTTGTAAAATAAAAATATTGAGCGAAGGTATTATACCCCCAAGGCCTTAAGCATAATTAAAGAAAAATGATTTTTTTTGTTTGTGAGAAGTAATAAAATAAGAGGTTTAGTACTTATCCGCTTTACTTTCAAAAAATTAAGAGAAAAAAGGATAAAAATCACTTTAATGAATGCTTTAAAAATATGAAAGTTTAATCTTTTTTTAATAAAAATTTATTGAAACGACGTAATTTTTGGATGATTTTCCTCTTAATCTTTAGAAAGTAAGGTTGATACGCACTATTTTCATAAAATAATAATAAAATTAGTTGGTATTTGCTAAACACCTATGCCTTAAGCATGATTCTGGGCTCATGCAAGATTTATTAGCATTTCTTTTAAACTTTAATTGAATATTTGAAATTGTTTGTTCACAGTTTGCATTTCAAAACTAATGAGTAAAACAGATGATAGCATTCAAAATATATTATCATCTTGCAAAATTCAAAGTTTAATATAGATATGTCTATGAGTTACTTGAAAGATCAAGTGTTCTTAAAATTTAAACTCAACTTTTATAAATTTTGTCTTTGTTTATTTTTAAATTGATAAGCTTTGCCTACTTTAAAATGGGTAAAGAATGAGTAATGATAAAGAGAGTGAAGACTTAGGATCAAAGTTTGGAATCATCATTATATAAGTTGATATATACAATATTATGAGTTTTAAAAAAATAAAAATATTTAATTATTAACTAATATATAATTTATTTTTTAATATTTAATATAACGTAACTTGGACTACATTTTATTAGTCTCAAATTTTGACATCGTATATCATTATATCAATGTTAGTAAAGAATACATAAGGGGGAAAGAGAAGTGAATCGGAAAATCCTTTCAGCCCTTCATATGGGCCAGGTCTAAAATTCTTGGCCTAAATATTGGTTGTTTGCACTCCACTAGGTCTCTCTTTTAACTGATGTAGAACGCTTTATCTAGTTAGGCCACACAGGCACACCCCTTACTTAGCTCTTGTGAGAAAACTAGGCTAATGGTAGCTCACAAGGAATGCACAATGCATACGTCGTGGACTTAAACCTCAAACCCAAAAGCTTAAACTAGTATGACAGAGGATTTGGACTCACATGTCATTGGTTTTCCTTAAACCTTTTTTTATAACTTTATCAAATGTGTTATGTGATTACTATTAAATAAAAAATATCAGTACATCTTAGTTTTTTTTTTTTTCACACACACACATATATATATATATAATAGATTTATCCACACATAAATTTTATATATTATATTTATACAAAATCTTAATTATTTCTCTCTTTATTTTTAATAATTGAAATTTGACTTGACTTTTTAAATGACAAAAATAATTATCTTAAATAAATGTAAATAAATCTCAATTATTAAAAATAAAAAGATGAATGGTTAAGAATTTATATTGATACATAAAACTTATGTGTAAATAAATCTTTACTCATATATATATATATATATATATATATATTCTATAATAGCTTCATCCTTGGTGGTTGTATTGTTCCCTCATAAGCTAGATTCAAATTATGCTGTTAGGTTGCACAAAAAGATTACTTCAATTCCCAAAACTACTCATCTTAAATTTCCCAATTCATATATGACTTGTGTTAATGGTGTTTAGTTGTGGGTAAAGAATATGTATTCGATCTATTGCGGCAGGTCAGTTCGGCTTTAGGTTTTATCATTATCATTTTTGTCTTATATTATTACAGGCGTCTTAATCTTGCCTTTTTCCTTTTAAGGAATTTTTCTACTAGGCGTATTAATATCTATGAAATAAACCTGTGCTGGTTGACTGGTTTTATTAGATGTGTAATGAATTTGTGAAAGAGTAGGAAGTGTAATGGACCAGACAAGTTTTTGGTTCTACAACTAGGCCAACCCAGAAATTTCTTGGGCTGAATGTTGGTTGCTTTGTATTTCCTTCTTCTTTTTTAGTAAATGGAAGCTTTGTATTTTACTGTATATTTACTTATTTAGGACAAAGACATGGATTCTTCCTTCTCACTGGCTGACTTTATTAACCCAAAAATTGGCAACATGTTTACGATCCTATTTCCCTTGGATTAAGTTTTTCAACAACTTTTTAGGTTTGATTAAT